AAGAATAACTATATTCCTAAAATTGTACTTGTGAAATTCATATTTCTTAAAAATAAATTTAAAAAAATAATAACATCAAAAAGAAAAAAATAGTGCTTTGGATAAATTTGTCATGTAAGTTTACATGTATAATACTCGAGGTTTTTCACATTTGCTCCAAATACTCTACTAATGAGAGGTATTACATAGGCATAAAGATATAAGAAGGCTAGAGTGGCTTGGTGGTATTCAGATTGTGTCTGAGAGGTTCTGCAATGTTCAAAACAACTTGTACCCACGTGTGGTGTTTGCAGGGGCTGGGTGAAGGCATGGGCTCAGCTTAGCCCTGGTCCTTCTCCATGCACTCGGAGAAGCTCCCCACATGGTGTCACCAGCTGGCCAGGAACACTTGCTATGTAGCCAATAAGAAATTAAACACAACCAGACAGAAGCCTCCAGTTTTCTTAAAGATTAGCTCTAAAGATATCACGGCATCACTTTTACCATAATCCATTCTTCAGAATTCCCGATGTCTTTGTAAATCCAAAAGGAAGGAGACAGTCAGTGACATCTCAACCACAGTAGTGTCTAGGAATCTGTCAACTTCATGAATCTGACAGATAGTACCACGCATGATAGACTTCATGAGACGTGGCTGGATGCCGCAACATTGGCACATACATACACACTAATACTTTGTTTACTGCACCAATCTGGGACACCCCTCAGTTGTTTTACACTTGCCTTACCCCTATCAGGCTGCTCTACCCCACAGCGTAGACCCCTGTACTGTATGCCACAGCTCAGAGCCTGATGGCATAAGAGATCTCTAAATATAATAGACGCCCTCTCCCACTTGTGCATTGCTGGACATAAATTTAAAAATATGCAAATAAACAGGAGCATGTACAAACTGAGTACTTGCTGATAGGATCTGGTTCCTTATTAGTTTGGTCAATCAAGCTTCCCCATATTCTCAACCGACCTCTTTTAGGAGAGGTCCAACAACCTCACAATTCAGTGGTAAGCCATTATGCCCATAAAGGGACATAGAGATAGTGACATATTTGTAGTTCGTGTGAGGACACACAAATTACTTGGGAAAGAGGAAGCAGAATCAATCCCTGATGTCAGCATTCCACATTGTAGGACTTTGGTTAAAGCAGACTATTTGCTTGTGTGTTTCCATTGGGGTTAATTCTGAAACTGAGATGGGGTCAGGAACGCCAATCAAGAATGCATGTTTCTGGGGCCGGCACTGTGGCATAGCAGGTAAAGTCACCGCCTGCAACACCGGCATCCCATATGGGTACCGGTCCGACTCCCAGCTTCCACTTCCAATCCAGCTCCCAGCTAACATGCCTGGGAAGGCAGCAGAGAAAGGCCCAACTGCTTAGGCCCCTGTGCCCACATGGGAGAACCGGAAGAAGCTCCTGGCTCCTGGCTTCCCCTGGCACATCCCCGGGCTGGGAGTTGTAGAGAATAAACTAACAGAGGGCAGACAGCTCTCTCTGCCTTGCCCTCTCTCTAACTCTCTCTTTCAAATAAATAAATCTTTAGAAAAAAGAATGCATTTCCTTTGATTTTAACATATCTCCTATATAGTAGTTTAACACAGAGATGCATGGTTCTATTATTCCCTGATAGGCTCCCATACTCATCAACCAACCTCATGTAGAGACACTATTGGGCACAGGCAGGACATCCACCCAAGACCTGGTGTCACATATAACCCAGTAGTTATGTGGTCTTTGGTAAGGCGATTTATATCTCTGGAAAGATTACGTGGAAGGTCTCTGGATTCCTGGAAGACACAGAATTCAACATGCCAGTCCAAATATCAGGGTATCAAAACAAAAATTAGCAATTGTGTATATAATTCCCCCTTCAAACAAATGTCCCAGGGGTGAATGATGCAATGCCCAGACAGGCAGCAGGTCCAGCCAGAGGCATATGATCCCTGCCTCACGGCAATATCAACTGCTGCTGACACTGTTCCCACTTTACCCCTGTGCAGGAACACTTTAGAAGCAGATCTAGTTACACTATAGACAGCTTTGGGGATTCCGCGGCAACAGCAGAGGCCAGCAGGGGAAGAACTTGTATGCTACCTTCCTCAAAAAGACAGAGTGTGGCATGGCAAGGACTGGCTCACTGCCCCTATGGAAGAGCCTATGTGCTCTCACTCTCCACAGACATTTTTTCTTACAGATCAGTCAAATCCTATTTTGAATCTGGATTTCTTTCTAAAGCCCCTCAAATTAAAGAGAAGCTGGAAATGGCCACGTTTTTAATCATCTTCTTTCCCAAATTATCTTCATTCTCCTACTTTCATGCAGGAACTCTGGGTCTAATCAAAGAAGGGGAAGGCAGTGGGGAGCCAGGAATCACAATTGATCTTACTGTATTTGCCATGGTACTGGGTACTTGGTTTTCAGCCTGCCAAGTCAACGAGGTGGATTTCATTTCGACAGGCAGATGGTTTGGGACTTGAGAAAATAAGCTATCTGAACATTCATATTGATTTGAGGACACAATCAGAAGCAGGGCAGATGGAACCGTGTTAATTCTACTAGCTGCTTCTATTCTTAGTTTATGGGAGAATCAGGCACAAAGTCCACACAAGGCTCTGGATGCACGTCTTTGTCACCAAGATTAGGAGCATGCAACATATCCCACCAGGAAACAACCAGCAGGCAACAAATAGTCTCCCACTGATCACAGGTTACTGCCAAACTCCATGGCTGAAATTCCAAGGACGACCCTTCTTAGTTACCCTAGAACACCTGATCACACCTTGGACCAGTGGCTGTGGCTCCATAGCTTTAGTTTACTCCGTGGTGAACAGAGCAGCCTGCTGCTTGTGTTGCTCTCATTCGATTCTGCCACCAGCCTTATGCTGCATCGATGGCAGTCGAGAAGGTTTGTCTATTCAAGAGAAAAGTCTGTGGTCCTGAAAGGAGCACAAAGAAGCCAAAGAAGCTAAGGCAGTTAAAGTGGTAACTTCACACCCCAACCAGTGTAGGAATAGGAACAGCTTCGTGGGACTTTTACTTAATCAATATTTCCCTGTGTTTGGGCCTTCCTGTATGCTTTAAATGAGTTCAGTAACACAAGTAATATTTTTAAATGTTTCATGAGAGCATATTTTTGTCCTACTAATACTACTTTTCAAGTTATATGCTTGGCCGGTGCCGTGGCTCAATAGGCTAATCCTCTGCCTGCTGCGCCGGCGCACTGGGTTGTAGTCCTGGTCGGGACGCCGGATTCTGTCCTGGTTGCCCCTCTTCCAATCCAGCTCTCTGCTGTGGCCCAGGAGTGCAGTGGAGGATGGCCCAAGTGCTTGGGCCCTGCAACCACATGGGAGACCAGGAAAAGCACCTGGCTCCTGGCTTCGGATCAGCGCGGTGCGCCAGGCGCAGCGGCCATTGGAGGTGAACCAACGGTAAAGGAAGACCTTTCTCTCTGTCTCTCTCCCTCTCACTGTCCACTCTGCCTGTCAGAAAAAAAAAGATATATGCTTATGTTTTGAAAATTTTAAAATTTTAATATTTTATATTCAATATATCAAAAATAAAATTTCAAAATGTAAGCAGTACACAAATTTAGAATTTGTTATATAAGGACTTTCGTTTGTCTTTTTGGTAAACCACACCTTCAGATCATAATCGCCCACTAGATGTCCATTTTCCTCGGTCACTGAACTGAATAATCATACACATTCTAAGTCCAATATGCTCTCTTCTGCTTCACTGATTCTGTTGTTAAGACTCTCCACTGCATTTTTTTATTTGTTCTATTGAATTCTTCATTTCGTTTTGATTTCACTTTAAGATCACAATTACATGGGAGAAATTTTCTTTCATCTCCTGCATGGATTTCAGTAGTTCATGTGTTTGCTTTTGATTACTTCTATGTAATATTATGATCAATTTTTTGAGTTCCATTTCTTGCATTTCTTCTATCTCCTCATCTTCACAATCTAGTATTGAAGTGTCGAGTTCTTGTGGGAGCGTCATGTTGTCTTCCTTATTGTGGTTTCTTGGATTGTTGCATTGTTGTCCGTCATTTGTTGAAATCATCTTCCCCATCCTCCTCCTCTTCCCCTCCTCCCCCTCCTCCCTCCCCTCCTCCTCTTCTTCTTTTTTCCTTCTTCTTGTTGATGCTTATCAGATATCTCAGATATTTTTAAATAGCCCTTTTCTGCTTGTAGTCTCTATTTCCTGACCATGGTTTTCCCATACTGCTCATTCTGAATTCATGCTGCTTTGGGTCAGATCTGCAGACATCAGCAGGACAGCCAGGGGTACCCTGGTGGCCATACAAGGAGTTCCAGCTGCAATTGAAGTGGCTTAGCCCAGAATAGCAATACATTCTGAGTTGGAGAAGAAAAGGCTAAAAGGTGGGCAGTCACACCTGTAGCACACTGGCCTTGGGTTACTGAGATCAGATTCTCATAAGCATTGGAAGATTCAATTTCTACAATTTAGCTGCTCTTCCTGGTGCCTTTTCAAGGTACTCATGGAGTGGCATCAGGCAGCTGATGTGGTCTGATGGATGACCTTTGCTCTTTGTAACATCTTTCACACATTGTTTTACTCATTTGAAAGTCACAGATAGAGAGGAGCGCACAAGTCAAAAAAACAGGGCATTCTTCTGGGTCTCCTACATGGGTGGCAGGGGCCTGCGTACTTGGGCCATCTTCCACTGCTTTTCCCAGGCCATTAGCAGGGAACTGGATCAGAAGTGGAGCAGCCGGGACTCGAACCGATGTCCATAAGGGATCCCAGTGTCACAGGCAGCACACAAGGCCTTCTGCTTTGCAGCCTCTTTCTTTGACACCAGGCTACAGCTTGCAAGCCACGTGCTGACTGGCTGCTGTGATTCCATGCGGGAGGGCTGTCCAATGCCAGGAAGCGCACCATGCAGCTTAGCAACAGGGTCTCCCCAAGACCTGCCATCCATTCAGACGTGGAGTCTGTCTGTGACGTCAGGCAAAGCTGCCTATATAAACAGCGCGCCCTGTGGGCAACCGCCTTTGTCTGCAGTCGCGAGCCATCAGCCGCTGCCCCCGCAATGGCTGAGCCCGCCTCGCACGTGGCTTCTGAGGAGAACCTCAGCCTGGAGCCCAAGACGACGGCCTCGTCCACCCCGAAGGAGAAGCAGCCCAGGCGCCGTCGCCGCCGCCGCCAGGGCCACAACTACAGCTTCGCTTCCTACTTCCCCAAGGTCCTGAAGCATGTTCACAAGGGCCTCAGCCTGTCCAAGGAGGCCAAGGGCGTCATGGACTCCATCGTGAGAGACGTCTTTGAGCGCATCGCCCACGAGGCCGCCAGCCTGGTCCGCTACAGCAAGCACTCGACCCTCACCTCCAGAGACGTGCAGAGCGCCGTTCGCCTCCTGCTGCCCGGGCAGCTCCACAAGCACGCGGACGTGGAGGGCACCAAGGCCCTCCTGAAGTTCATCACCCACCCCTGAGCCGCCTCGGGACCACCTGCCCCGCTCCCCCAAAGGCTCCTTCCGGAGCCACCCTCTCAGGGAAAAAGGCCTGTACCACTGCCCAGGTCAGCTCACCTAGGGGTGGGGCACATGGTGTCTTGCTCACTTTTAAGGACATTTTTACCGATTTCCTCACATTGTCAGTTCTACCATATTCTAGAGCCTTGGACCAATCTCTTTCAAGGAAAATAGTGGGATAGCTATATGCATTGTGCATTTATTAAATGGTTTATTAAATGCTCATTTTGCTCAAGTACGTTCTTAAGAGAATTTTCGTATCCCCTATATGTCGAAGTATTTTCATGACAAAGTTCTCGATTTTATCTTTGCTCATTAGCCCTAGAGGTCTTGGTGAAATGATGGGGAGCTCCATGGTGTGTGAAATGGCAACATATAGATGAAGAACCTGGTATAAGTGTCATACCTATCTAACCCAGTTTTCCCAACACATCTCTTTTTCCGGAATTCTTTGAAACACTAGAACTGGAATCCAAAGAACGTACAGAACTATCTAGATAAAATAGGAACAGTTGACTGTCGTAGCACCCTGCTCTCTGTAATTACTATTTCAAATCATTGAGATTTATCTGAGTCTCTACAGACAACAGTCTTTTCCAAACTTTCATGACTTGCAGCTACGTGTGTCTTGGGTAAAGGGATCTTCCAAGGAGACTGGACCAACACGTGGAGTGCACAGGAAAAGCCAATGTGTAAACTGTGCACCACCAGGAACAGCCATTAGCTGGAAATGTGTGCATGTGCAGGGGTGGGGTTGGTGAGCAGAAAACAGCTGTGGTGTAGAGTTTGGAAACTGTAGGCAATGGGATCTATATTGTTTGCCAGTGTTTTTTTCTGTTGTTTACTTTCATGGTGGTCTAAAATATAAATCCAGACGTGGGAGTGGGCTATTTTCCTTTATGTTTGCAGGTGAATGAGCAAAAGACCTAGAAAACCTATGCTGTAAACAACAGCAAGTCAGTCTTGCAGTGCATTGCCTCAATACTGCTGTGCACAGCCAGAGGGAAACTGTGGAGTGCCCAAGGAGACCATGAGGGCGTTTGTTCGGCCCAGCAGCTTCCATCACCACTTGGGATGCTGGCAGCCCACGTTGGAGTGCCTGGTTCAATCTCAACCGATCCAGTTTCCTGCTAATGCTCATTCTGGGAGACACCAGATGATGGCTCCACTACGTGGGTCCCTGTCACCCTCGCAGGAGACACGGGTTTAGTTCTGGGCTCTCAAGTTTGGCCTGGACTTGCCCTAGAGGGAAGGGGCACTTACAGAATGAACCCATGGATAGAAAAAAAACTCCCTCTCTCTCTCCCTTTCTAATAGAATGAAAATATTTTTTTAAAACATAAAGACATGCACCTTTTCAGATAGACCATAAGATGAAGCAGAACATTTCAGTAAAACACTAAACTTATGCAAGTTGTTGCTGCATCCAAATGCCAATTAAATATGGCTTGAAATAATTTTTCAAGGTTTCTCCATGTGTATTGATCTATGCATATCTTATTATGAAAAGTAATTTTTAAGACATTCAATCCTTTAGATTATTTCTCTTTCTCTATGGGTATTTCTGCATTTGTAACTTCAGAAATAGGAGATTCAGTAAAACAAGGCGCCAACATGGGGTTTTAACTTGAAGTCTGGGAATATAATGGTGCGGACACGGATGATTTCTTGCACGAGGGTGGAAAAATGAGGTTGAGACTCAAAAGTGAAGTTGAACACATGTGATTATTCACTACTATGATTAATTCAGGGGATGGGTTATCTAGTGAGTAATTAAAATCTAAGTGTATCTTACTGAAAAGACAAGCTGAGGGAAACAGGTAATGCTTCAATAACTAGTTATGAATTGTCTGCACTGATTATATATTTGTATTCATATATTTGTTAAATTGGATATTTAGATTTTTGATTAAATAGCAAATTATATAAACATGCACCTGGGGAAACAGTATGAGACTATAATCTCGTCGACATTTGTTTCTAAGTGATCCCTATTATGAAGCTTATTTTAAAACAGCAAGAGGGGCTGGTGATGTGGTGCAGATTAAGCCATCACCTATGAAATTGGCACTCCTTTGGAGCACAAGTGTGAATCCTGGCTGTCTCCTCCTGTTTAGCTCCCTGCTAAATGTAGCATCTGGGAAAGTGGCAGAAGATGGCCCAAGTACTTGGGGCCTGTGCCCTTATATGGGAGATACGGATGGTGTCCCAGCTCCCAATTTTGGCCTGTCCCAGGCTGAAGATAGGCCCCCGGAGCCTAATCCAAGGTACCCAGGTGTGTGGCATGTCCCTAGTGCTTGAATAATTACCTGCTGCCTCCCACAGTGGGTTTTGGCAGGAAGCTGGAACAGGCGACATAGCCTGGACTGGAACCCAGGCTCTAACATGTGGGTATGGGCATCCCAAGAAATACCATACCTGCTACAACTATTGCACATCTCATGGCGTTACCTTTCAAATACAAATTTTATTTATTTTAAAGGCAGAAAGAGAAACACAGAGGTAGTGGGGAAGAGGGAGGGGGAGAAAAAAGACAGACAGACAGACAAACTTTCCATCAGCTGATTCAGTCCCCAAATGCCTGAATCCCACCTGTTTTGGGCATGTTAAAGATCAACTTCAAGACATTTATTAGTTAATAATGAAGCATACAGGGTGCCAGAGTTGTATCCCAGAAAGTTAATCCACAGCTTGCAACTCTAGCGATACATATCAGAGCCAGGATTAGATTTCACGTTGCTCCTGTTCTGATCCAGTTCCATGCTAATCTGCCTGGGAAGATAGCAGAAGACTGTGCAGAAGCAGATACAATTCCCTGATCCTGGCTTCCAGTTGGCCTCATCCAGCCTTTCAGGTCATGTAGGATGTGAACCTGCAGAGAGAAGCACTCTCTCTGCCTAACCCTCCTCTCGGTGTGACTCTGCCTTCTAAGTAAATAAAATATCTTTAAAAACAATCAACAAAAGGCAGACAGAGTGAGACGGACAGAAGGACAGAAACCTTCCATTCGCCAATTCCCTCCCAAACGTTTTGAAATAATTAGTGCTGGGCCAGGCCAAAGCAGAGAGCTTAACCCAGGTCCACCGAGTGGTTGGCCAAGATGGGATTGCTCCTGCCATCACGTTTGGCATCCCACTGCATGCCAGAGCAGGGAGCTCGAAAAGGAACAGTGTGTGCCAGCCACACACTATGGGATGTGGATATCAAAGGAAATATCTAACCGGCTACACTAAACGCCCACCCTACAGCTTTAGGCTCTTAAAACAATTTGCGGGCCAGAATTTTTGGACTGCATACTAAGGCCACCTGCCAGACAGACAGCTGCACTTCCCATGCAGCTCCCTGCTCATGTGCCTGGCGAGGCAGTGCAAGATGATAGCCCACTCACTTGGCCCCCTGCCGACCACAGGGGAGACCAGGAAGCACTTCTGGGCTCCATGCTTCTGTGTGGCTCAGCCACAACCTTTGTGGCCATCTGAGGAGTGACTCATCACCTCCAACATCTCCTTCTGTCTCCCTGTCTCCATTTCGGTCACTCTGCCTTGCCCCTAAATGAAAGATATCTTTCCAAACAATAGAGGACAGACAAGAGACGCAGGGAGACAGACAGGCAGAAGCAATCTCTCATCTGCTGCTTCCCTCCCTAAATTCCCAAAACCACTAGTGTTGAAAAGTCTGAAGCTAGGCCCCAGGAGTTTAATCCAGGTCTCCCAGGTCTGTGGCAGGGTCCCTAATGCATGAACCTGCACCTGCTGCCACCCACAGTGTGAATAGGCTGGAAGGTGGAATTGGGAAAGGAACGTGAACAGGAAACCAGCCTCTACCACGAGGGATGTGGGCATCCCCAGAAATATAATGGCTGCAACTGAAGTGCCCCCCACAGCTTTACCTCTGAAAGTCTAGATTTTATTTTAAGGCAGACAGAGGCAAGTACACAGGGGGAGGGAAGGACGGACAGACATGGCCCTTCAGCAAGTTTGGTTCTCAAATGCCTACAATAGCAACCACTCACTGCTGTCATTATCATAAAGGAAAAGTTTAAGTTCAAAATATGCTAGCCAATTAATTAAACAAAACAGCAGCGAGTGTGCCAGTGTTGTATCCAGAAAGTTAACCAGCAGGTTGCATCTCCAACAACGTGTATCCTAGCCAGGGACTGATTCCAAGCTGCTCCTCTTCTGATCCTGCTCCCTGCTAATGTGCCTGGGAAGGCAGCAGAGTACGGCCATACTCCTCAGGCAACTCCAACTCACACTGAAGACCTGGATGGAGTTTCAGGGTCCGCAATTCTGACTGACCCTGACCCATCTTTGTGGCCGATTTGTGCGTGAGAATAAGCAGAAGGAAAATATGTCTCTCTACCCCAACTCTCCTTCATCTGGGTGGCTCTTTCATATAAATTGTTTTCAGAAAAAAAAGGCAAAGAGACAGAGGAAGATGGAAAGACAAAAATTACCCATCTGCTGACCCCCCTCCCCCACTTCTATAAGCAGTTGTGTGAGCCAGGCCTAATCCAGGTACCAGGACTGAAATGCAGGGCTGCACGATGAGTGGCCAGGAAACAGCTGCTCTTGCCATCACCTGCAAACTCACAGTGTACGTGAGCAGGAAGCTGGAATGGAAATAGATCCTGAACTGGAACGCAGGCATTCCAGTGTTAGATGTTCTTAAGGGAAATATCTGACCCGCAGTGCAAAATGGCCACGCTACAACTTTACTTTTTTTTTTTTTTTGGACAGGCAGAGTTAGACAGTGAGAGAGAAAGAGAGGGAAAGGACTTCCTTCCGTTGGTTCACCCCCAAGTAGCTGCTATGGCCTGCGTGTTGTTGCCGGCGTGCTGTGCGGATCCGAAGCCAGCAGCAGGTGCTTCCTCCTGGTCTCCCATGGGGTGCAGGGTCCCAGGACCTGGGCCATCCTCCACTGCACTCCCGGGCCACAGCAGAGAGCTGGACTGCAAGAGGAGCAACTGAGACAGAATCCAGCACCCCAACCGGGACTAGAACCCAGGGTGCCGGCGCCACAGGCCGAGGGTTACCCTAGTGAGCCCCAGCGCTGGCCCACCTTTACATTTTTAAAACATTATGTTGGGGGTCAGCCTAGGGGCACAGCAGGTTAAGGTGCAGCCTGCCATGCTGGCTTCCACATAAGCACCTGTTTCAGTCCCAGCTACAATACTTGCCATCCAGCGCCC